CAGCGATTCACACACACCTATGCCTATGGCCTATGCTGAGGATTACTCATATCCTATTCCATCATTGATATAGGAACTGAGTTCCTTGTGATGAACATACCTGTTCTGGATGTAGTGCAGTTCCCCCCACTCTTGTAGCATCTATATCTTGGTACACTCCTGTTCTATACAGATGCTTTCTGTATGGTTCATACCTGCTCTGGTCCCTCCACCTTCTCAATGTGGATTCTAGCTATAGTGTCAGCAGAGGTAAGTATGTTTTGGAAGTTAACATTTTCCTAAACTGAAAATGTATTTCCAATAATACCTCCGCTGACACTCTCCCACCCTACCTCCCCACTAAAAGCTGGTTTATGTCTGGAAAAAGTGATTACATTATCTGAATGAGGTGTTTATATACAGTACCTGGATAGAGGGTGCACTGAAGTTGGTGGAGAATTTTGCAAATTAGAATTTACCAAGGGCATTCAAGTGGTGTATAAAAGACTGGAGCAAGTGTTTTCAGTGCTTGGATGGGTAAAGAGTGGAAACCCTGGTGAACGAGAAATAGATATAGTGTCAGTGGAGGTAAGTATTATTGGAAATACATTTTCAGTTTAGAAAAATGTTAACTTTCATTAAGATCACAATGATCTTTAGCCAGTGGCTGCCTCATTTTATTTCTAAGAAAGGGAGAAAACATTAAAATTTGAAAATTCCCTTGCTTAAAAAAATCAAAGTAATTCCAGCCTTATAATATTGGGTGTGATCAAATTAATGGTAAATGAAATACCTATAGAAGCATTGTGCATTAAATATTTGATGTTTGATTTTTTGAAACAGATGGTTCCATGGGAAAATAACACGAGAAAAAGCAGAGGATTTGCTCCGAGCAGGTGATGACGGGTTATTTTTGGTTCGGGAAAGTACAAACTTTCCAGGTGATTACACATTGTGTGTGTGTTACAAGAGTAAAGTGGAACATTACAGGGTTATCTATACAGACAACAGACTCACTATTGATGAAGAAGAATACTTTGAAAACTTGTCGAAGCTGGTAGAGGTAACAGTAACTTTATGTTTACAAGTATATATAATTTTAATAACGTCCTGATTTAAGACAGAGGTTAAAATAATTGTTGGGTATTGGTACATATAAGTAAATACCTACTTTTAACATTAAGTATGCAAGTACAACTTCAGTGATCTATCATTTAATGGAGGAATGACAAGATAAATAAATAAATATTGATTAGCATACTTGCCATCTCAGATTTTCATCGTGCAATCACCCAAACAACAGTATTCTATCAAGTTTCTAACTTTTCAATGTTAGTGTATGGGATTTTGTATCATTTGACAAAGCACAAGAAGGAAAGCTACTTAAGGTTATTATTTAAAGCATATATTATTTGATTACTTCAGAAACAGTAATGTTAATCTTTAATGTAGTGAAATATGGAGATAAAATTAGTGTTACATTAATGGTTTTTGATAAGTGAAAATAACATAAGCTATTTTCTGTGCTTTTTATTACATCTGCCTGCTCTTATTTTGTTAGTAGCACACCATCCTTTTATGTTGGTTAACTTGTCTTTTTTCCTAACCTTACTTTGGTTTCTGTACAGAAATTTGTTTGTAATTATAACTTTTGTGTAAGGAACTTTTTTTTATGTAATTTTAAGTACTTTGGTGTATTTCTGACAATTTGAATTTATTTTTGTCAGTATGATAGCTTGAAACTGTTTTATTCTTAAACATGATTTTAATTCTTCATGTCAGAACACTAGCTTAGTTTAGTCTTTAACACACATTTTATGTTAGTACAATGTCTAAAATGATAAAACTGATAGATGAAAATTTTCTTCTTCTTCTGGCCAGGTAAGATGATAAAGACTAATTGTAATTCATCACATATGATATTTATGCCAAGAAACTTCAGAACATTATAATTATCTAAAATGACAAATGATACATTCAACAACAGTAAGAAAGAACTTCACATTTTTTAATAGATGTAAACTATTTTTTGTAGGCTATTTGTAATGACTGTTTTTTTTTTTTCGGGCTTGTGAGTTACCTTGATAATCTATAGGTCTATTGTATAGATTACTCCATTTTTCACCAGCCAGATTGACCAACTCTGTACATAATAATGGTTTCTATAATTTTGAATTTACTGCATGTATCTTTATGAAATTTGCCAAGCTTTTAGTAAACATTACAAGTGCATAAAAAATTAATATTTTTAAAGATATCTGTTTACTTAATGAGAATATCTGAGTCAGACTAACTAATCTGAGTGAAAGGTGATTTTCATATTAAGAATAAAAAATACTTTTATAGTCTTACAATTTTCATATTTTATTTGCATATCAAACATGAATACCAAAAGTTTTTTTTGCAGTAAGAGTATCTTGTTTTTTCAATATAACACTAACTGTAGTGTGACATCAGCAATATGGGGAAAAATGAAAAGTTTAGAAATACAAAATAAATCTAAATTATCTCTCTTTCTAGAATGACTGCATATTGTAACAGACAATTATACTATTACTCTTACAGCTAAAGCTAATAGCCTTTTCAGATATTGTTTCAATTCATTTCTTGCTTTGTAAGACCCTCTCAGAATATGAAGAAACCCTTTGTCATAGTGGGAAAACTTTGTGTAAATAAAGGATTGTGTTACTAGAATGCACAGACAAATTATGATATCATGCCTTGTAATGTGTTCATACTATCATGAGTACTTTTTAAAATTTCAGTTATCTTGCCTGACTTAACCCATTAACTGCGGATGACGGATATTTCCATCATTGGAGTTCTATGGCTCAGCTGCGAATGACGGAAATATCCGTCAGTCGCACATATATAACTCTATGCGAATAACAAAAATTACCGTTTTATTGTGATTGATGGCAACTCAGTTTTATCTGTGAGTCAGAAAACGGCAACTGAGCTGCTCCTGCCACAGTTAATGGGTTAATAAATTACTGATTTTTACATTTTAGTTACTTTATAGCAATCAGTAAAGAAATATGCATAAGGATTAAGGAATTTAGTTCTTACATCTAAACTCCTGTCTTTTTTACACTTTGAAAGATAAAATTGATGAAATACCGTAACCTAATTTTTTATAGTGTTGGTGCTATAAAAAAAATATATAATATCCTAATACTACTGTAATTTACTTGGCTTTCTAACTAAGATCAATGAGTTTAAAAAATTTCTGTTAGCTGGTTGAGATGAATTCAACAATAGCAAACAATAAAACTGTGGTTGAAAATTTCAAAATCTGTCATCTAATTGAGTTAGCTTCATAACAAATTCAGTAAAGTAGAATCTTCTTTTTCTGTTGGTTATAAATAATCCAATAGCAAATATCAGAGAGAATTACTGGTATTTTTCAAAAGACAGGATGTGATAGGGTTGTGTGTCATGTGGGTTTGAATTCCTTGCTCACATCTTAGTAAAACAAGAAGATTAGAGGCTATAAACTTGCATTGTGGCTTAGCAATATTTATCCTATAACTGTGTAATTTTTGCAAAACTCGGAAGATGATGTAGAGGTAGAGAGAAAATCTAAAATTGGCAATTTGAAGCAAAAGGTTTCATGTGATAGAGAAGTGAAGAGTGAGAAATTATTTAGGTATTTCCTTTCAGTATTAAAAAATTAAAACATATATAGTGTTAAAACTTGATTTACAAACTGTTTTGATTACAATTTTATTGATATACATTGATAAGAAAGTTATTTAACTAAATTTTGAATGTAACTCTAAAAGATCATTACATGCCCACCTTAACCTCCACCCATACTCATAGGGTTAACTAAAGATTGTTTTGAAGAATGTTATACCTGTAACTTGACACAATATGTACAGAAAACGACACTGTGTATAGGTACTAAATACTTTGGAAGCTCGATGGATATTCATTGTAAATATATGTTAGCCTATTTTAGTCTTTTCTGTTTCTTGGTGTACTGCAATGCATGTTTAACATCTTGTCTTGACTGCTGTGGCTTTAATAAAAACTTCTAAAGATTGATTTTACTTCAAAATTTGTGCACATATATATATTTCTGTGTGTGTGTGTGTGTGTGTGTTTGTTTGTATAATTAATTTTGCTCTGTTTTCACCAGCATTACCAGAAGGATGCAGATGGTTTGTGTACACAGCTTCGAAAACCTGTTCCCAAAGAGGGAGGACTTGAGTTTTCTGTTGACTCAAGTGCCTTTGAGCAAGCTGGCTGGGTAGTTGACAAACAAGACCTAAAACTAGGAGAAGTGTTAGGGAAGGGTGAATTTGGTGGTAAGACATTACTAATTGTAGATATCTTTAACAATTGTAAAATGTATTAATTTGTGTTTGCTATAAATGTGTAAATTGATTTCACTTTCATGAAGATATATACTGCTGTGAGAACTTAATTTTTAGGATAAGCTATGAATGATTTTATCATTTTTGTGATTATTTTCTTACGTTACGATTTTTGTTTTTTAATAACTGAATAACTACTCATTGTAAGTACAGAAAAACCACTGGTAAAAAAAAGGGGGTGGAGGATTTGTAATGCTCGTTTATTAAGAAATTTTTATGTAAACGTTTTTATTAAACAAATATAAGATGAATATTTTTATCATTTTTTCTTCTCGTATACCTTGAAAATCTGTAAGTGAAGGATAATTTTGCACAATTCTGACTTGGGGATAAGAAAATACAGAGTGTATCTAAACTAGAGATGAGTTCTAATCCAGTTGTACGTTAATTTGTGTGAAAGTGTTAAGATTTGAGATGGGCCAGACCTGATTTTTATTTTTAAAAATGTGGTTGACCCTAAAATTATTTCTTCATGCTCAAAGTTGGACTTGTTTCGACCTTTAGAGGATTCTTATTCCATAGACCTGAAGATGAAAAATTTGAACAGATACAGTCCTAAAATTTCATATCTTGGAATCATCTCTAGCCTATAGTATTACCATAATTGTCGTTATCTAGTTTCATTTTATGAGAAAAAAGTTTCTGAAAGTCCTTCCCTTTGTACTAATGTGGACTGTAAATGAACAGATATTGAAGGAAACTTAGTAAAAACTGAATAATAAATATATGTTATCTTAAAGTTGATAATTAAAGGTAATAAATTAGGGTTAGCATAATGTGGTGACAGAGAAAATTTATTTCTTTATTTTAAAGAAAAAAAGGAAAATAAAATTCATTTATATTAACTTCCAATCAGAGCAAGCTGTGTACTTGGAGTGAACCTAAAAATAAACCTGGTAATTAGTATAGGTAATTAACCCACTCGCTATGGACTGGGCAAAGAGCTCATGTCATGATGTTTTAATTATTTTCAAAATATAATTAAATGACCTTATTGTCAACATATGTCAATAAAATTAGCATCAAAACACAGTTTATAATACAAATTTTAATATTATGTATGTTTTAATTTATTATTTGAAAGGAAGTATTAAAAAAAAGCTAAATATACTTTTTTGTGTCGCATACATGTTCTCTTGTCTTATTGCTCAGTTTATAATTTACTATGCCTACCATACAATATCTATAATGGTTAATGAATTAGAAACTCACATTTCAGACATTGATGAGCTAGAAAATAAAATATTCATACCTAGTACTATTAAGTACAAGTTAACTCTTTCAGCTTGGGCTCATTCCCTGGGACCATCCTCGTAACCATTTTTGTGCTTGTTATAGTTTTCATGCTATAATTTTTAAATCAGTAAGCAAATGTTAAAAAAGTTTGGTAGATTATCAGTAAACATTACAATGCTTTCATATGCAAAATATCAATTTTTTTATTAAGTTTTAAGGTTTGTAAAGCAATGTTTTTCTCATGCCTTTTTTTTTCTTTTCGCATGTCGCCGGTTCAACATGCAAAGTCATTTTCATTTTAAGATTAAAAATACTTTTATGCATCAGAAATTTTTCAAGTTTCACGTGCAAAATCTTTATAATGTCCAGATAGTTATCAAATGTTTTTGATTCAACATACCACGTGACATACAAAAATCGATTTTTAACTGTGTTTTTTAATATTTGTTTTTAAATTAAGAAACTTAGTAAGGTTTAATACTAAAATTTGAATTATAATCTACAGTTTGATACCACAGATATTGACATAAATTCATGAAATTTTGAATGCAAGTCAACAAACGCAGTGACATGGCCTTTGACCTATGACCTGTCTGTAAAGGGTTAATAATCAGTAGAAAGAGCATATTTCAAAATACGTAAATCTGAGTTTTTAATTGGCTTGAAGGTGAAAGTCATTCTTTTACCGGAAACGTTAAAGTCTGCTGACTAAGTTGTTGCTCTGACAGAAATGAGATTTTTTTCTTAACCCACGTATAGCTTTGTAAGAAATCCAGGTAAATTACAGTGATTTTCTGTGTACCAGTTTAGTGATTTGATAATTTCTTGGCTTTCTAAATCTACAAGAATTAAATTGTTTTCCCCTTTCACTTGAAGAAAGAAACGAGGCTTACGGCAAGGCTTAGCAAGTATGACGTGCGAATAAAAATCAATTTCATAACATTGTAACTGCTAGAAATCATTGTTTTTCTATATATTTTTTTATGTTTTAAGCATTTAGCAAATAGTAATAGTGTATATATGTACACATGTATCACTAAATTTTGACCACTTCGGGAGGATAATTAACATTCCAATACCTACCAAGTTTATTGGACTGGCCTAAACTTTGAACAGAGTCATATCATAAATATTTTCTTGCATTTTTATTGGCTTGGACAATTCTTGTTGCAACCGCTGTATTGTAAACAAGTCGATAAACCCTCTTCCACTGTGTTCTCAGATTTGGGATTATGATAAACTCTGTGGGAAAGTTCCGGTAATTGCACCACATAAGCTTGTTTGCTATCAATGGTTTTGTATTACAGTATCATGTAAATAGTCTAATGGTAGAAGTGGTGGTTCATTGCTTTATGTTTGGAAGGTTTCTACTTCAGTAAAATGAATATAGGAAATAGATATAAAAAGGTTAGAAGTAGAAACTATCGGGAAGATAGAACAGCACTACTAAGTATACTGTTAGCGTAGAGAAAATAACAGATATAAAGTTTTATAGTGGTAACTAGGTTGGCCAATTTGACTAACACCGACGGAGTTAGGGTAGAGAAAATAACAGATAAAATATAAAGTTCTCTGAAAAAAAACAAACTTCATAGTTATTTAAGAGGTTTTAGAGATTATGCAAATGAAATTTGAAAATTTTCAGATGAAGAAAAGTATTTTTAATTTTAACATGAAATTAACTTTGCACTTGGAACAATCAACACTATGACTCCGTATATATTCATGGACAAATTTTTAGTAAGAATACATAATTAAAAATTATGATGTTTTTGTCTATAAAAAGACTTGTAATGTTTATTAAAAACTTGGAAAATCTTGTGAAGATTCATAAACCATGTTAAGAGTTATAGTATGTAAACTCTGGGGGCATGACGTCGGTGTAATCCACTAAGCCCATATTGAGAGGATTAAATATACTTTTCTTACATTCCTAGTTATAAAGATGAGAATGGAATGCATTGTTTCATCAGTTGGGTACCGTTGCTGTTAACAATATTTTCAGGTATAATCCTAATGCATTTAAACCATTTAATTTTTTACATCATACAAATTCTATAGGCTGTGTACAAAAGTCTTTGAAAGTATGCTTTTCAGAGTTAGTGTTGATAGAGGAAATTTTAGTATTTCTTTTTGGTAGAGGACCAGTAGCCATTCATTCTGCCTGTCAAAAATTGTAAATTCTCACCTACATATTGAACGTTCTGCAATTAACCAAGAAATCAACATATTTATTGCTGCAGGGTAATTCCCAAATACCACTATTAATTATGTAAACATATTTGTTTGTAATGTAGCCAGTTAATGTATTGTTACAAACTATGTGGTCACAAGTTTCTTTGAGAAAATTTTTTAACTACTGATGAGAATGATTATTAGTACAAAAATGGTGATTAATATTAAGATCACTATCAGAACCAGTCACATTCGTTAATAATATCAGTATAAGACCGTGGGTTATTATCACTAATCTGAATACTGGAGGCCTGCTAGCTAACTTTTCACAGTCATCACAGTACCTGAATGAACTGCATGGGCCTGGTTTAACTGGGTGACATCCAACTTGGTATTCGTAATATGTATTGGCTCACTCATAAAACAGGAGAGCTGTATCAACAACAAGTAGAGGATTGTGCAACCACAGCATCAACTGGAGAAAACTAAATTAGTAATTAATGTTAATTTCTGATGAGAGCAAGCTGTGTACCCAGAGCAAAACTAAATATCAAACTGGCAATCAGTATAGCTAATTAATTATAGTTACATTTCTACTTATAAAGATTAGAATACATTGCTTTGTTAGTTGGGTGCTTTCACTGTTAACAATATTTTTGACCAAACTTGTATTATTTAACTTTACTGGTTACACTTTATTGAGGTATCAAGAGATTTTACTTTCTGCTACATAAAGTTTAAACAAGTAAAATTTTCATAGATGTAAAATTGGTTTAGTACATTATACTGTAGAAAATTGGTCCTTTCACAAGTGAGGGAATTCTGTACTCTACCTCTTTAAATAAACTTTTCTTGAGTGCTGTTATTTTTTTTGTATAGTTATATATTTGAGTATACTTGTGATTGTGTCACGGCATAATGACATGTGTGAAGTTAAGTATTTTTATTTTTGATAAAACACTTAATAGTTAATTTTTATTGATCTAGAAGATTACTTTTGTACTGATATAACTTTGTGTTGAGCTAATTTCTTGTACATTATTTTCAGATGTGTTATTAGGAACATTACGGGGTCAAAAAGTAGCTGTAAAAATTTTGAAAGACTGCAGTAAAGCAGCCCAAAAGTTCCTTGCAGAAGCATCAGTAATGACGTAAGTGAGTTTTACATTTAATAAACTTCAATCCATATCTAACCCTTAAAAACAAGCACAGTTTCAGTAATCCTCTTTTTTTTTTATTCAAATTTATGGATAAAGGAATATAAGTATGTTCTATTTCTTGTTTTTAAATTCATTATTTTATCATATTTATGATGAAAAACTTTTTCTACAAATTTAGCTATGAATCCTGATTTCAGCTTTCTTAGTTGTAAGTACTAGTAATTTATATAATAGCTCTAACATCCTGGGATTCTGAGAAAACAACAGACATTACATAAAACTTTTACTTATAATAAAAATACTGTTTTATAAGTTTTACAGTCTGCAATAGTCTTTGCTTTAATCCAGTTGGTGTAGAATAAATATATTGAAATATTAGAGCTTACGAAGCTGTTGTAGAGTTTATTTTTCCATATGATATTCAACAAGCAAATATAAAAAGAAATAATAGTTTTTGTTTGTTTGTTTGAATAGTTTTTATTTTGTTTTGAGTTCGTAAGAAGTATATTTATTTTTATATTTGTGTATGTTTGTTTTGTGTTGTTTTTTCAGCAAAAAATATTTCTTGTTACAGAACTTTACAACACACAAATTTGGTGCAACTTATTGGAGTGGTTTTTGATGGACCATCTATCTATATCCTCACAGAATTTATGGCTAAAGGATCACTAGTGGATTATTTGCGCTCTAGAGGAAGGATGCACGTTTCTAAAAAAGATCAAATAGCATTTGCAGCGTAAGTTTGTTCAACATTGAGTCTTGAAACTGTATAATAGCTTGTTTTTATCTGTTGAAGCAATCTCAGCTTTTATATTTCTTGTAATAAATACTTGATGTAAAACTCATTTTTCAAGTTACGAACCTTTAAATTAATTACTTTTGGTATTTCAATATACATTGGCTGTGTGTTATTTTTGTGGTAAAATGTTAAACTGAGATCTGAAAGTTTGTGTAAGTTTATGGCTATAATGTAAAATCGATGGATATGGCAGGTAATTGATAATTATATCTAGTTTTTATTGCCAATTTTGTAAAGGTTTAAATCCTTCCACAATGGAAGAGTGTTACTTGTATCCCTTGATTTTCTTATTTCACAAAGTAGAAATACTTAACCAAATTGCATGAAACTTATTACAAACTTGATTATGGTATTTAGTTTTGGCTTAAAAGTTTTTACACCAATTCATAATTTTTGGGTTGTGAAAGTTAAAAAATGTTCATGTAAAACTGTGTTTTGGAAAAGTATTAGAGATAGTTTCATTTGTCTGAGAATTATTTTTTACTGTTGATCAGAAAGTTCTATTGTATATATCCAGTCTACTTAAACTCTGATTGATATGTATGAACTTATTTATTTTATACTTTATTTTGCTGTTTACAATAATCACTGCTTCTGGCTATAACTAATAAAATAAAAAAAAAACAAACCCTGCATAAACTGAAAGATTTATCAGTGACCTAGGACCTCAACTTTCAAACTGGCATTGCCTTTACCTTTGTCAGGCTAGTTAACATGATTCTTTCTAACAATATTCTTGGTCGAAATCAATTTATATCTAATAAATGTATTTTATTTTCAATAAATAATAGATTATTTGTTTTGTATGCATTGTTTTAATATGATAAACTTAACAATAATATTCAGTAATAATAATTTTGAGTCATCGGAATATTTTACACTTTCTTAACTTACATGATGTTTTGTTAAAGAAGTAAATTTTTAGAGCTATTAACCCTTTCGTAGATGGGTCATGGGT